GCCAACACCTGGAGTGGAGCACCCACAGGGACACTCATCTCTAAGAATGTCAGTTACTGCACAGGGTGAGTAACCTCCTCTTGCCACTCCCAGATGACACTCTGATTCTTCCTTGCCCTGACCAGTTCAACTGTGCCTTCCCTCTGCTACCACTTCTGCCACAAGTTCTACAAAAAATCCAGCAGGATTTTTCTCACCTCCTTCTGGCCCAGACAGTTCTAGTTTCCCAACTACACGTCATCCCAACCACCAATTATCCTCCCAATATTCTCCAAGCTCCTGACCCAGTGGAATGGCAAGATCAAGCACCTCAGTCTGTGTCCACTCCACCCCAGGGCTTGGTATTTGGATGGGTATATTTATGCTCCACAGCTGTACAAGATATCCTCTCTTATAATAGAAAGGACTTTACTAGACAAATTTACCTAGCTAAATAGAAGTGCTTCTCTTGGGCACACTAAAGAGGAGTTCTCCAAGAGACTACAGATATCCATCTCAACTTGGACTATATCCTCTCTTTGAAGATATCAGGTTTGTTCATCAGCTCCTTGCATGTCCACTTGATGGCGATCAGCACATACCACCCACCTTCTCAGGGCCATTCAGTCTTTGCACATCCGCACACCAATAGATTCTGGAAAGGCCTAATAAGAACCTTCCCACGTATTCAGAAGCTTGCTTCCCAGCGGACCTTAACCTTGTTCTCTCAGTACTCACAGGGCTCCCCTCTGAGCCTTTGGCTACTTACTCCATGTCTTCCCTTTCCATGAAGGTTGCTTTCCTTGTAGCTATCATCTCAGCGATGATGGCCGATTCGCCGTACACTGTAAGGATAAGGTTTCTTTACATCTACACCCTAAATTCACTCCTAACATAGTTTCAGAATTTCACCTTAACCAATCCATTCACTTACCTGTGTTCTTCCCCAAACCATAAACTTCCACAGAAGAACAAAGACTCCACTCCCTTGATGTTCGGCATGCCTTGCCTTTTTACCTACAGCGAACAAAACCAATCAGGAAATCCCCAAGACTGTTCGCTATAGCAGAAAAAGTCAGAGGGCACGCCAGCTTCACCCAGTGGATCTCTTGACTGTATTCTACACTATCAGCTTTTGAACCTCCCCCCCAACCCCCCATGGATTAAGAGCTCGTTCCACGAGAGCGGAAACAACAATTATGGCATCTGTTCAGGAGGCATCCCTCCTGGACATTTGTAAAGCAGCCATGTGGGGCTCCATTCACACATTTGCAAAACATTATGCCTTGGTGCAGGACTCTTCCACTGATGCCTCCTTTGGGGCAGTGGTACTTTGCTCAGCCCTACAGCCTCTCACCCTCCTCCTACATAGGTACTGCTTATCAATCACCTACAGTGGAATATAATAGAGACCATCCCTCAAGAAGAGGAAGTTACTTATCTGTAACTGGAGGTTCTTCAAGGTGTGGTCCCTCTCTGTATTCCACTACCTGCCCTTCTTTCCCTCTGCTTCAGATCTTATCTGATTTGTATTAGAGAAGGAATACATATAGGGCCACACATCTCAAAGACCCTCCAGTGACAAATAAGTAATCTCCACTTCTGGTGTTCCCTTACGTAGACAATTGGCTTCTGAAAGGTTGCTCCCAGGACAAAATTTCACAGGCAACTTGCAAGGCCATAGATCTCTTCCTCAAACTAGACCTGCAACTGAACATTAAAAAATCCACCTTGACCCCTGTACAAAAGTTACAAATAATAGCTCATCTCCATTCAATAGCAGCAAAAACCTACTTCAAATGCACAGATTTGTGACCCTGTCCAACATTGTCAACACAGTCCAGATCCGTACTCAAATCTCTGTCAAGAACTCTCTTCAGCTATTGAAACAGATGGTAGCTGGTACTTTCAGGATGGACCATGCAAGCCTGCAACTACATTGCCTTCATGGGTGGCTCAAAACTGTTTATTCTCTTAAGCCACATTTTAACTACACTAATTTCCATACCCACTTTTGTAAAGGAATCTTTCAATTGTTGGAAATACTCTCACAATGTTTGTGCAGGAGTCCCTTTTGCCCGCCTTCCCCCAATGTTTTTTATAACAACGGCTGCATCGCTGTGGGGTAGGGAGCACATCTGAACACCCGCATGGCCCAGGATAGATGGATACCTCAAAAGCCACTCTGCACATCAACCTCCTAAAATTTAGGGCAGTCAGAAATGCCTGTCTCCAGTTTCTACCACTAATCAGGGGCAAATGCATAAAGGTTATTCCTGGGGGAATTCTGCAACAAAAAATTAAAACTTCTGCGCACAATATTTTAAAATTCTGCATATATTATTTGTGAAAATAACACAATATAATCACACCAGTTTCAATTATTTTTGGTCATTTAGTTCAAAATACCTGTCAGCAAGTATGTCTATAACAATACAGACAACAAAAAAGATTCAGAAAATGTTTTTTGACAAATAGATTCCTTACTAGGCATATTAATACAGAACTCTGAGTAATTATTCATTTAAACTACAATACAGAACCATATTGCCTGCACCTCTCAGAACCAGTGCAAAGGCTAGGGGGAGTCAGGGGTAACAGAGGAGCTGAGAGAGAGAGGAAAATAATTGCTGGGAAGGTGCCTGGGTGTGAACTTGGAAGGTTGTTGGGTACAGGTGGGAAAAGTATGGAACAGGGTTTTTTGGGGAGGTGGGGGTGAGGGACTGTTAGGGAGCTTCCCCCATGCAGACTCTGGCTGACCCATAGCCTCTCCCATTCAGTCAGGCACATGTGTCCCTCCAACACCACTCAGCCACCCACTCTCCCCATCTGTCCTTGCACCCCCTATTCCCATGTGTCTCTGTGCCCCCACTTAGCCACTCCCTTTCCCTCTGTAGCTCTGCACTCCTTCCCCCTCTGCCCATGAGGCCCTGTGCCTCCACTCCCATTCAGCCCCTGCCCCAGTCCTCTCTCACTACCTCTTCTGAGCCCCTGTCTAACCCCCCAGAAGCCCCATGTTATTTGTCTCCCCATAGCCCCTGTCTCCTGATCTGGCCCAAAAGGCACTGTGAAGAAAGGCAGGCTCTTTCTCTTCCCTAGATGGCTGTAGAAGTTATTTTCTGCTGGGAGCGGCTGCTGTGTTCTATTGCCACAGCACCCTCTGCTGGACAAAAGGCAGAACTGCAGCAAATTTTCAGCAGAAGCTTTTTTCTGTGCAAAAAAATTAAAAATATATGTGACTCATTAATTATGCACATGCACAGTGGTGCAGAATTCCCCCAGGAGTATAAAGGTCATGGTGGACAACATGTCATACATGTTCTATATCAACCAGCAAGGAGGGGCAGGATTCCCCCTCTGTGGGTACCGAGGCTGGCCAGCTTTGGAATTGGTGCATACTCAATCAGATCATCATCACAGCAGCTTACCTTCCAAGAGCTCAGAATGTGACCACAGATACATTCAGCAGGCACTTCTCACAAGACCATGAGTGGGTAATAGATTCCATTGTACTTCACTGCATATTTCAACAACGAGGCACCCCTCGGATAGATCTGTTCATCACAGCCACAAACAAGAAATGCATTCAGTTCCGCCCAAGTGACAGGGTGGTCACCAATCCCTGGAACATGCTTTTCACCTTCAATGGTATTCAGGTCTTCTTTCTGTTCCCTCTGGCTCCTAATATCCCAAGTTCTACTCAAAATAAAGGACAAAGCCAGTGTTGTTCTAATAGTTTTGACTTGGCCCAGACAGACATGATTTCCTTACCTTATACAGTGGACCATTTGCTCACCAATCACTTTGCCCCTCACCTTCTCTCTCGGGAAGCTGGGAAGATCCCTTACCCCAATCTCAAGAATTCTTTGCCTCAAAGCACGGCTGGTCAATGGATCACGGGATTAAAAACAACCTATTAAGGCAAAGTGAAAAGTGTTATTACACAGCAGAAAACTGTTTAGTCTTCATTTCAACTATGGCCAGATCCAAAGTGTAACTGTCCTCCCTCTTGGGTTCAGGCCACCCCCTTTTGGAGGCATCAGGAAATCGGTATGCCCTCCAGCAGTTCGTTGGGCGGTCTGACTTGCGGCTGCTCAATTGCCCAAATTACAGTTCAGGGTGCAAAAAGGAGGATTCAGCACACCACCAGTGAACTGGTAGCCCTGGCCTGCTGGTTGGGGTGGACAGTAATAGTCTAGGGGCTTCAGCCCTCTGGATATGGGCAGAGCAATTAATTAATTAGTCCTTCTAGCCTAAAGGTTAGTGTGCTGTCAGTCCCACATACAAGGGCTGGGGTTAGGGAGTAGGGGGACCCGAGCCCACCCTGCTCCACCAGGTCCCAGCCCAGGGCCCTAGCAGTGGCAAGCAATCTTGCCACTGGGTTGGTGGAGAAATGTGTGGTTATGGCCTTGCCTTCTGACGCACAATCAAACCAAAGTCTTGCTTTCCTGGGCTACGTCCTACTGGTTTCTGCTGGCACTGCTCTGTCACTTCTGTAACCTGGCTCTCAGTCTCACTATCAGGCGGCCCTTCCTCCCATCTCTCCCCAAGGTGGTCCATATCCTGGGGCAGTGGGTTGCCTTTTCTCCCCGCTACCACTCATGGGCTTCACTGAAAGCTCAGCTCCCTCGGAGGGACGTCTGCCTCTCCCTGGTCTGCCCACAACTGAGCTGCAGGGCCATATTCTTATACTTAATACTCCACCAGTGCACTTCCTGCGAGGGGGGCAAGGTGAGGTTGGCTGCACCCATGTGGGGCATTAACCCTCTCTGTACTAGATGGAGGTTGTTTTGCCTCACTACACAAAGGATCCACAAACTTCACCAAGACACTCCCAGGACTGATCTTGGGGTGTATTATTGCATGTTATGACTTGGCTGACATTCAACCTCTTTCTAGAGTGATAACCACTTTTACAAGATCACAGTCTACATCTGTGGCATTACTCAAAGATGTCTCAGTTACTGAAATCTGCAGAGCTGCAACTTGGACTTCTGTACATACTTTCTCCAACAATTATGCTCTGGTTCATGCCTCTGGGTCAGATGCTGCAGTTGACAATGCAGTTCTCTTTTCAGTATTGGACTCTGTTCCAAAGCTCCCTCCTCTTTATGGGAATACTGCTTGGGAGTCACCTGAAGTGGAGCACCTATAGGGACACGACTCAAAGAAGGAGAGGTTACTCACCTTGTGCAGTAACTGGAATTATTTAAGATGCATGTCCCTGTGGTTGCTCCACTACACTCCCTCCTTACTCTCTGTTTGGAGATTCCTCTGTGAGACTTTGTGGTAGAGAAGAAACTGAGGGCAATTCACCCACAGAGCCTTATATATCCTGGGAATGGGGCACAAGGATGTGTTGGGTGTATGTGTGGATCAAACGGGCACTGCTACTAAAAATCTCCAAAGACACAGGGGCACCTGCAATGGAGTACCCATAGGGACATACATATAGAAGAACTCAGTTACTGCACAAGGTGAGTAACCTCTCCTTTTCACTGGAGGGAGACAGATCATCACTACATGTAAAAAAGGCACTGTCTGGCGAGAGAGAGAGATGGCAGGAGAGCCTTTGCCTAGCCTGAAATGCTGACCAGAGTTCTGACTCATAGAAGGGGCGAGATCAAACTAGGGGCTAGTAGAGGGGGTTGCAGCTCAGTACTTGTTATTTTGCAAAGACTTCTAAGTCTAATGCTTTCAGAGTGAAGTGAATGTAGTTAAGAAATTCCTTTGCTAAGCCGGTGTTCCTTGCCTTCCTGCCTGGTTAGCCCCAAAGAGGTTAAATTAGATGTCCAGCCTGAGAACAGTGTAGGAGGAACACTAAGAGAATATGCATAAGCAACTAGGGGAGCTCTGGAGGTCTGAGGCACTGGCCTTCAAATACTTGAAAAGCTGCCATAAAAAAGATGGAGAAAAATTGTTCTCTCTTGCCACTGAGGGCAGGACAAGAGGCAGTGGGTTCAAACTACAGCATAGCAGATTTAGATTGAATCTCAGGAAAAACTTCCTAACTGTAAAAACTGTAGGACAATGGAACAAACTGCCTTCACTGCAGGTTTTCAAAAAAAGGCTGGCTAGCCATCTATCTGTCTTAGATGGTTTAGACACAACAAATCCTGTATCTTGCCAGGGGGTAGACTAAATGACCCTTGCGGTCCCTTCTAATCCCATGGTTCTATGATTCTATGACATAATTGTGCAGACGGAAGGCCTTATGGTATGTCTACACTGCAATGTAAGCCCAGGTCTGTGGGATTCAAGTCTGCAGACTCGGTGTTTGTAAGCCCGGGCTTGAGCATCCACACTAAATATTGACCCTAAATTTACAGTTTCTGGACCTGGGTCTTACACAGCTATACTATGTTACACAGAACATAATTAAACTAGACTATCCCAGACTTCCTAGTGCCCCCCCCCCCCCAGCTATAGTCGCACTAGCCATTTGTTTGTGGTGCACTGTGGGAAAACTTGCCTGTCCATCTCGTAGCACTTTACACAACACTGTCTCAGCACACCAACACATCTGATCAAACTATTTTTGGGGTCTGCACGCTCCTGGCAACTGGAGCAAGCTACGTGGAAGAGTCACCATTTGAAGAACTTGTCTTGCTTCGGCTTTCATTCCTGTTTTAGGAAACGGGAAAAGCATCCACAAGTCACTGGTGCACATTTCAGTGGTGTTTTCTGATGTACCGAAGGCATGATACAGACATGGCAGACTCAAACTGGCTGTTGTTCACAAATCTCGGCATACCGCTGCTGTCTCCTATGTAGATTGGCACATCTGGAGCAGGGCCACAAGCACAGCCTGATGGGATCACATCGTCATTCAGACCTGGGATGACCAACAGTGGATCCAGAACTTTCGCATAAAGAAAGCTACATTTCTGGAGCATTGTGAACAGCTTGCCTTGACCTGCCAGCATCACAGCACATGTATGAGGGCTTCCATGGTGGTCCAGAAGCAGATGACTGTAACCATTTAAAAGCTAGCTATCCCAGACTGCTATAAGTCTGTTGTTAACCAGTTTGATGTTGGAAAGTTACCTGTGGGTAAAGTGGTGGTGGAAGGTTCTGAAGCAATCAGGTGTATGGTGGGCATAAACAATGTCCCTAAAGTAATTGCTGACTTTGAGAAAATGGTGTTTCCAAACTGCTCCAGGGCCATTGATGGGAATCATGTGTCTGTAGTTTGCCCTCCTCAAGGTGCACCTAAGCACATAAACTGCAAAGGGTACTACTCAATTGTTATGCAGACCCTCATGGACCACAGAGGTCAATTTATGGACCCCAACATGGGCTGCACTGCAAAGATTCATGTTGCCAGGGTTTTCCCCTGATTGGGAGTCTACATTCTTGGATAGGCCAGGACACTATTCCCACCCAAGAACATTGTCATAAATGGAGTAACTGTCCCCAGTGTTATTCTAGGGTACCCCTGCCTACAACCTTTTGTGTTGGTCTATGAAATTATATCCTGAGTCAGAGGCCCTGGCAAATTACACTCTCAAGTGTAGAATGGTGGTCAAACACACATTTGGCAGATGGACTCCCACTGGTGCTGTTTACAGAATTGTTTAGATTCTAGTGTCATCAATGTTGTCTGAATTATTGTGGCTTTGTGTGCTCTGCACAGTCTTTGTGAATCCAAAGGTGAGCCATTTGCCCCTCAATGGGCCTATGATAGTAATTGATTGCTGATTTGGTACACTTAGACAGAAGGTGCTCCTTTAACAGTTGGAGCAGGCTGCACCCAGGCCAGCGAAGTCAGCAATGCTTTGTACTCCCACATTGTGAACTTGCATGGATCAATTGAAGAGGGAAAATAGTACGTTTATGGTTGTATTTGTACCATGATTTTTACATATGTTGCTGTATGCTATGACTGGCGTGTGTGTGACTGTCATGAATTATTAATTGTGGATGAAATGACTGCTTATACCATGATGGTTTGTATGATATGAACAGTGGCTTTTCATTATGGATTGCTCTGAATAGATGAACTGAGAGAAATTATTTGATAGAGCTTCCCAGTTATGCCTTATCATGTCTTTATCTTTCTTCTAAATACAAGTTATATGATGCAGCAATGGTAATAAACTTTATTAATAAATAGGGCTGTCAAGCGATTAAAAAAATTAATTGTGATTAATCGCACTGTTAAACTATAATAGAATTCCATTATTTAAATATTTTTGGATGTTTTCTAAATTTTCAAATATATTGATTTCAATTACAACACAGAATACAAAGTGTACAGTGCTCACTTTATATTTATTTTTATTTAAAATATTTGCACTGTAAAAAACAAAAGAAATTGTATTTTTCAGTTCACCTAATACAAGTACTGTAGTGCAATCTCTTTATCACGAAAGTTGAACTTACAAATGTAGACTTATGTACAAAAAAATAACTGCATTCAAAAATAAAACAATGTAAAATGTTAGAGCCTACAAGTCCACTCAGTCCTACTTCTTGTTCAGCCAATCACTCAGACAAACAAGTTTGGTTACAATTTGCAGGAGATAACGCTGCCTACATTTTGTTTACAATGTCGCCTGTTTACAATGTCACCTGAGAACAGGTGTTCGCATGGCACTGTTGTAGCCGGCATTGCAAGATATTTACGTGCCAGATGCACTAAAGATTCATCTGTCCCTTCATGCTTCAACCTCCATTCCAGAGGACATGCGTCCATGCTGATGACAGGTTCTGTTCAATAACGATCCGAAGCAGAACAGACCGACGAATGTTCATTTTCATCATCTGAGTCAGATGCCACCCGCAGAAGGTTGATTTTCTTTTTTGGTGGTTTGGGTTCTGTAGTTTCTGCATCGGAGTGTTGCTCTTTTAAGACTTCCGAAAGCACACCTCGACCCAGATTTTGGATGGCACTTCAGATTCTTAAACCTTGGGTCAAGTGCTGTAGTATTTTTAGAAATCTCACATTGGTACCTTCTTTGCATTTTGTCAAATCTGCTGTGAAAGTGTTCTTAAAAAGAACATGTCATCATCTGAGACAGCTATAACATGAAATATATGGCAGAATGCAGGTAAAACAGAACAGGAGACATACAATTCTCCCCCAAGGAGTTCAGTCACAAATTTAATTAATGCATTATTTTTTTAACGAGCATCATCGGCATGGAAGCATGTCCTCTAGAATGGTGGCCGAAGCATGAAGGGGCATACGCATGTTTAGCATATCTGGAATGTAAATACCTTGCAACGCCGGCTACAAGAGCCATGCGAATGCTTGTTCTCACTTTCAGATAACATTGTAAATAAGAAGCAGGCAGCATTATC